CCATATGTGCCCCCCCCCCCCCCCGCAACGGCAGTCGGAAATTATCGAGAGGTACGGTGAGATCCCAGCGAGTGCGGAAGGCTTCTCCCAGTGGGCGGCCGCCGTCCTGCCCATGCCGGTGCGCGAGAAGCACGCCATGCTCTCGGGGAGGTCCACCGCCGACCGACTAGTCGCCTGCGAGCGCCACCTGGCGTCCCTCACGACCGGGCGAGGGGGGGGGGTGCCGCCCGCGCTCGCGGAGCCCCGTGACGTCACCGCGGTGGCCGAAGCCTTCACCCGCCACATCTCCGACGCGGGCCACACGCCCGAGTCTGTGGCAGCGGCAGTGTCCGCCGGCCCTGAGGATGGTAGTAGAGAAGAGGAACAGGGCGACGCGGGATCGGACGAAGACTGAGGAGGCTTAATCCGCGGTGTGCGCCGGCGGGAAAGAAACGAGTCAATTATCATTTTTTTGTTTTGTTCCGAAGTCCCATGGGGGACGTGGGGTGAAACGATGGGGTTGTCGTCACCTGCACTGCTACTGCGTCGGCGCAATACCGGATTGAATTGGCGATGACGACTTGGGAACTGTTTTGGGCGAGCGGGGTTGGAGGGACGGAGGGACGGTGGTGTGTGTTCTATAAATAAACGTACAAAAAATCATTTTGTAGGTACGGGACCGAGTGGTGTACGCAGGAAGTTCCCGATCCATGGGGTAAACTAGTAGCTTGCTTGTTTCGGACCGAGAGAGGGGTGGTTCTCGAGGAGGAAAATTGTGTGCGTGCATTGGAACGGGGGGGTGACGATACAACGCGGGTTGGGTGTACCCCTGGGTGTACTTCGATGTTGTGAAATTTTTTTTTTTTGGTTGTCGTCAAACATTTTCTGTACTCTTCGTTTCGAGAGCAACGAAAGAGGAAGCCAAAAAGTAGCGGCGTTCTCCCACGTGTGGGGTGCCGCGGATGGGATGTGTCTACTTAAAAGGGGGGCTGTACTCATAGTCGTGCATGCCGTAGTCGTTAGACCATTGACCTCGCATCCCTACAAAGCCGGGACGGAGTACGCCGGGTTCTCACCGANGGGGGGGGGGGGTAAATCTTTGAGGCGGTGCCGGCATATTGCCTTGAGCTGGCAATGGGTTGCTAGGGAGACCAGGCCTACTCATCTGTGTGTCTGAGTGTTCGTTCTCCGAAACGTGGAGGGGGGGGGATAGTGGCTAAGCTTGTTCGCTCTCAAGACCCTCAATGAGGTATACCCTCGAGAAGTCTCCAACTTCTTTATCCAAAAGGCACACAGCGTGGTCGGGTTTTGTATCCTGTGGAATATTTCATGACGCATATTCCAGGTGAGGATTAACACGCGCGGGTATTGAGGGCGGGAGAGGCAAGGGGTCCCGAGTATGGGACAAGAGAGAGGCGGGTGTCTGCTGCTTGTAGGCGTGGCTTATGTGTGTGAGGCACCAACAGCAGCAGGAGCCCAAATGTCGACAGGCTGGCTCATTTTGCTATCGGTACAGAGCCTAAGAATATATATGTTGTTCCAGGTTTGAAATGGGATTCAAGCGCAACAAAGCATCTTGCCTGGTTGACTTGCTGCCTGGCCTCACTCGTAGGCACATTGCCCGGTTGCGCGCGTGTATATTCATGCCCTCCTAGATAGAGTCAAAGGCGTGAAGGAGTGTTGACCGGGGTGAGCTGGATATCGCCGCGGCGGAAGAATAAAGTCCGCCTAATGCACAACAACGCGGCGCGCGGGGAAGCAACCAATCGTATGCCACGCACTATATATCTTTCGCCGTACACTACAGATAGCGCCCGCACTTAAGAACTTAGCAGTTAAGAAATTGAGACTCGCAAAAATCAGAAGCTAAGAACTTAAGCACCATTTGTGAGCTCGGATAAGAACCCCACACTAAAACCGATATGGAGGCCATTTGTAGCCCACAAGAGGATGATCAGCAAAATAAGAAGCCCAGCCTCGGCCGAAATTAGAGGTGCTGAAGTGCGGGCGCCATCTGTACGACGGCGTTGATCTCCTCTGCTGCCACTGCTCTGTTGAAATTTGCTCCCGTTCGTAGCTTCCTGCCCCGACGATGTCTTTCTCTCTTGATCTTCTCACTTTTTTCTCTCTCTGGTTGAATTCGATACGAACCGCGATGACGACAACGCATGCGACTGACTGCAAATGAAGTGGTCTTCAGACAAACACATCCGGTAGTTACTCTTCTCTTTCAGTTGCGTTTCTTGCTGCGGCACAATTATCTGTTTGAATTTCACTTACGTATCGCGCCCACGAACCTGGCGAAAGGTGTGTGTTGCTGTGTGCATACGAAGCGTCGGAGCGCTCCCCACTTTGCGAGAAAATAGGGGGAGGTGTACTCATAGTCGTGCATGCCGCAGTCGTTGGACCACACGGTGGGGGGGCGAATTGCGCCGCCGGAATACACTTCTATGTCAATGTTTTTTACTGAATCCCCTGCTCTCGACACCAAAATGGAGAACGACACCAGATCAGGTACTACATGTTATCTGAACGCTTTTTACATGAACATAACGAGCAACCCCAGATCAGCGTGGGAAGGAGTGCATCTGCATCCTGAGTGTCGTGAGTGCTACAATATCTGCATGGACCGAGGGGTGTAAGCGGGGTGTATAGCTCGTGCTTCTCAGTCACATGTTGTAGGATCGCCTTTGCACAACGTGTGTGTGTATCAAGGCCGCGGGCCGAAAAAACGTTGGAAGCCTATGTAAAAATTGGTTAATTTACAGGGAGTTTGGCTCCAGGGCGGGTGTTTGAAGAGTTAATAAATAGTGGACGGCATGTGCGCGCGTGTGAAAAGTACCCTCTAGGGCTGCAACCGGAGAACAAAAGATAGTCTACACCCTTTGAAAGTGGCATCAACTTTCCTACAAGGAGAAAGCACCGCCTCCGCGTTGATCGAGCGAAAGAGGAGCGTCGCAATCATACATGGGGATTTACTCAGGCGAAGCGTCCAATAAATTTCAAGTAGGTGAGCCGAGATAGCAAGATTCGACCTTCCGCCTCCACTGCACAAACGCACAACGTCATGCCACCACACCAGATTTTTACAGTGCAGACAAGAATCAAAGCATTTTTGGTTTTGGCACAAAGGGGGGTTCCGTGAGTGCATGATGCACTGGGCCTTGGTATCATCTGGATGTATCCGGTGCACCCGGGTTGCAAGGGGCTCCGTACACCCCATTTTTCTTTTTTTTGTTCTCGACCAATGACTCACGGAACCCCTCGCAGCTGGCCTTCACCATAGCGACCAACCGAAGTTTCTCAATAGCTCCGGCTGTAGTTGCGATCCAAAATTAGGGCAGCCCTCTATAGAATCGTCGTGGACACCTCTAAAGTATAGTGGCGTTGAAAAGGTGAAAGGGATCGCACCCGCGACGGACCTCGGAGCGTAAAGTCCGCCAGAGGGGTGGTATCTTCCGTAGAATCTTGCCTACCTGTCCTGCGTCTCCCTGCAACGAGAGAGGGATTAGGGCTGCGTGGAGAGATCTCTGAGGCGAAACGGAGGAAGGCACTGCCGTGCACAACCCACCCAAGGTATGAGCACTTCATGGATCAGAAACATGGGCGAAAATCACTGATAATCGGGCGAATCCAGAGACAAGATCATGTGCGGCACGAACCACCCGGGTGCAGCGGCAGCTATAGCTCAGCAGCAGCTATAGCTGCTTCGTGCAGGCTAAGCCGCCCTTTTGCCTGCACCCGAAGGCAATGGTCCTGTACGGTTACCAACCGCGACGCGTGATGAATGCCGACTCATGATAGGATTGATATTGCTAGATTTAGGGGCGGGCGACAAGATTCAATCTTGTGTGGTCCCCAAAAAATTTAAAAATGAAAATGTAGTCTAATAATATTCTGTGATAGACACCGCTGCTGTTGTAGACACCGCTGCAAGCAGGGCCGGTTTACACGACGCCCCGCGACGAGGACTTGCCAGAGAGTCCAGCTGATATCGTGCATATTTTTCCCTCGGTTGCACGAGAGAGAGTCGCGATGTCGTCAGGCTGTCGTTGCAAATACGCAGCGTTAGTGTAACATAAACGGCGCCACTAGACTCGTTTTGCAGTGTAGGCTATGTAGGTAGTGTACACTACAGAGTGTGGTCCTGCTCCCTTTCCGCAACTTTTGTATTTGCGGCGTTTCTGCAGAGGGTTTTCTGCCGTGCGCTGGATGTGGCAATAAAACAAACCTTCTTGACGGAGAGTAGCGCAGCGGAAACGTGTGCTGTTTCGTCCTGATGGATGATGCGTGCCGTGTACTACACGAGCAGGAGCGGAGGTCTGCGTCTTGGTTATTCTCCCGAACGGGTACGCAAGTAGCCCATGGACGATCGAAACAAGGCGGTCTTGGCCACCATCGAAGACTCTATCGATGTTTTTTTCGCGAAGAGAGAGGGAGGTACGGAGGCGTGGAAGAATGGCGTCTCTGCCCGAGAGGTTCAAGGTCTGGTTTCCTTGGGCGCCAGTATTCCCGACCCCTTCGCCGGTTTCAAGCTGAATCCCATCCCGGAGGTGAGCACTATTTAGTCACCACGGCGCCATACTTATTCGAAATGGAACTGGAACCACGGACTTGGTCGGCACGAAAAACTTACACAAGCCTTTCGAAGCAACATGTCACAATGCTAATAAACCCTAGAGCAGCAGTGTGCGGCGGTTGGAAAAAGGTATTATCGTTTCTGTGGCAACAAGTCCGGTGTGTAGGTTGGGTGCACAGGATGCGACCTTAGCCATATCAGGATCCGTATGTTTTTTCTTCCCGTCGAAATCAAATCGGAAATACTTCAGGCAGATTCGGGGTGTTTCAACCTGCCTGAGGACATCGACAAGCTTGCCAGTCGCTGTTTGGAAGGGGCAGCGACATCTGATGGTGGGGGGGTGGGTGTTCCCGTCGTAAACGAGGGGAAAGGCGCGTGTTTCTGGATCGCCCTTGCATCTGGGGCGCTCAACACCCGTTGTTCCACCGGGGGTGCTGCGCTTGCTCTCCGGACCGGAGCCATGCGTATGGCACTGCTGAAGTGCGAAGAGTTCCTGAGCGCTGACGGGTACCTGGCCGAGTACCGTTCTGGTGACCTCTTCGACACCAAGGAACACGACATGGTGATGAAGCTTGCAGGTCGTGTGTGGCCGATGAACATGTCGGCGGACGTTGCCCGCCTGTACTATCTCTGTGCTATCCGGAGTAACTGCGGGCCTTTCAAGTATAGTCAGCAGGCGGTCCTACCCTGGGCAGCGGAGGTGCTGGGCTTGAAAGTTCGAGTTTTTCACCCAGGTGGGTGTTTGTGGGTTATTGAAGTGCGGAGTCATTTTCAGGGTAGTCCGGTTGTCAGCGTACTCTTGGCGAGACTTTATGAAAACAGCCGTCGGTGAGCATATCTAACACCTAAATATTCTCGTGTGCACGCGTGATTGTCGTGCCGCAGCCGCTTCAGTTTCTTTGGTGGGAGGGAAATGGAACAAGAAGTATTGGATGCCGCTTTCCAGCCTGCGCTCAGGGCCCCATGCGTTGGCCCAAATGCCAGCCGTCCATCTTTCCCACTCCCTTTCAAGGGATGGCACCCCGTTCACCTCGATACAAGGGTTGGGCCGGCTACTTGGTCGTGGAGACAGGAGGGAGTTCTCGCATTTCGTTCTGCTCGTGAACACTATTTCTGTCGGTGCCATCGAGAAGGTAGGTGAAACGGGTAAATTTATAGCGCTGCACGTGCGTTTGCCTGGCTGCAACAATTTGGACGGAGGTCCTTGGTTTTTGATATGCCGTTGAGGTAACCATACGCAATTGGTAAACTGTGCAATATCGATCTGGCCCGCCGGTTGTTGCTTGTCCTGGGTGCCCGAATTTATAGGTGGATGGAGAGGAGCGCGACCTGCGGGAGGAGCTAACCTCGCTGGAGGAGCATGTTAACGTGGAGACACGGGACAATGCACGGAGGGTTGGGGAGGCAAAAGCAGAGGAGGCACGAGCTGTGCCCCTCAGACAGGAGGAGACGGCAGCCGCAAAGAAGGGGAGAGACGGTTGGGGCGCGGACTCGGACGAGGGGCCGGAGGAGCGTGTGGCCATGGAAACGAAGGCACGGCGGGCCGGGGAGGAAGCGGCCCAGAAAGCACGAGCTATGGCCCTCAGACAAGAGGAGACGAAAGCCGCAAAGAAGGGTTTAGGCGTTGGGGGGGTGGAATCGGACGAGGGGGGGAGGGGTGCATCCGCCCGAGAAGCGATGCCAGGGTGCTCCACGTGGACGCGACGAGGGCGAAAGCGGCGGCGGAGGAAAGTCTCGGGGCGCCGTAAGCAACGTGTAAGACGGAGGCAATTGCAGCATTGCGACGGACAGGGAAAACGGGGTTGGCGAAGGAGAACTGCAGGCGCTGCTTCACGCCTGCCAGGTCTCGCGAGGTACGCGTTCTGAACCCGGGGGGGACAGGCGGGGAGCCAAGAGAGTGGAGATCATTTCGGTGGACACGGACGTGTGGGTTGCGGCGCTTCTGCTATATGCCGTGCATGAATGGACAAGAAATGTGCGCATCGTCGTGAGGCAACAGCGGGGGTTCGGGCGTGCAGGTGAATGTGTCACTCACATTGATACGCTGGACCTTTTCGAGGGCATCGTGGGCCTGGACTGGCCCACCGGCTTCTCACCCATGCAGCGTTGCTTGCCGGTGATTGCCGCCTACACCCTGTGTGGAACAGACTTTTCGCCGACCCTGCACTCGTTGACTTCACATTCGATGTTCAACAGTTATTTCCACACCTTGCAGAACCC